ATCGGGGTCACGATGCCGTGCATTCTTTGGCAGAAGCACTGCACGGGCTCAGGTCGCGGCCTCTGTCCTCACGAGGTCCGGAGGCTCCTCCGAGCTGGGGGCGCACTCCAGGTGGGACTGGGCTGGGGGCCCAAAAGCTCCGCCTCTGCCTGCCGCTGCTCCTGCTGTCCCCTCCCTGCCTCCACCACTCCCCAGGCTCCATCCCAAGACCCCCGCTCGCCTCCCTGCCCCGCTCTCCCCTGGACTCAGGAGACTAAGTGCAGGAGGTGAGGGGCTGGGCGAGGTCCCCCAGCCTTGGGCGCCAAAACCAGGTGAACCGGGGCCCCACAGGCAGAACCAAGCCTGGAAGAGAGAGGGGCAGAGCCGGAACCCTACCCATCCCCTAGGAGGTTGTGCCAGCCAGCGCCTGCTTCCCAGAAGAGCTTCAGTGCCAGGTGTCCTGCCCTCTGATGCTTTTCCAACCCCCCCAAATGCACACACCCCTACAGTGCCTCCAGATGGTTTTTATTATCTGCAAGCAAAAGATGCACTTAAGTCTCCACTGAATCACACAACCCTGCAGCAGGGCAGAATCCTCCACCAGCGCACCTGCAGCTGGCAGGGATGCAACACATTGTCGGGAAGCCTTCAGAAGCCAGCTTCCCCCTGGCGGAGGCGCACTAAGCCCCCAGGCCACAGCATACCCCCAGGTTCGCCACACGCACGGCTGCTCCACCCTCGCGGGGACACCAGGTGGCGCCAACAGCTCCTGCCACGGGCCCCTCAGAGTCCCCACTGAGGTCCTGACACCGCCTGCTGCAGGGGCGCAAAAGTGCACTTTCACTTTTAGGAAGATCCACTTTTTCTGTTTGAGCTTAAATACAAGGCAATTTCATCAATACAAATATACAACTCACGACAGTAATTCGCAATTTTAAACTATTTGCCTAGAATAAGAATTTATCTTCTGAAGTCACAGTTTCCCGAGCTGCAGCCTGTGGACACCCAGGCGAACCTCGGACGTGATCTCAGAAGTCTCTCTGGGTGTTTCTCAAATAGGAAGGACATTTGCCTAGCATCCTTCCCATCGGTGGATCTACGAGCTCACAGCACGTGCCTCTCCGAAGGACAGGGACAGGCCGTGGCTGGCTGAACCGGGGCCGGAGAGGGGAGAGCACCAGGAACGACTTGCCTCGCCCGTGGGCCGAGAGAATGCTCCGCATCCCAGCTTCATGTCCTGCCGAACTCTCCTCGGTAGACGCAGCCGTCCTGCCACTCCTGCACACCCTGGGTGAGCTCGATGCAGGCCTCCTTCAGGTCCTGCTCCCTAAGGGGACCCTCGGGCTCCTCCTCTTCCCCCTCTGGGGCCTCCGGGATGAATCTAGGAAGATGAAGAGCAGGGGGAGGGGAGACCGACGCTGGCTGAAGGTCTTAGGGCCACTGGGTACCGAGATCCACACACCATCTTATCTCAACCAGCAACCCCCGAAGCCGATTGCGTAGCTATCCCACCGGGGCGCCCGGTGCCCCGTGGAGACACTCACACCGGCATGCTGAGCCTGGGCCGGCGGTCTCCACCTCGGACACCCATCTCGCGGTCAAGCAGAGGACGGCGGGTCAGCCTCTGGATCAGGGGCTCCCCGGGGGAGATAGTGCTAAAAGCTCCCAACGCCCCCCAGGAAGAGCGCAGAGGCCCCGTGTGAGACCTGAGGACACTGAGGCACAAGGGAGTAAATTAACTTGTCCATGGTCACGTGCTAGCACGCGGTAGGGCCAATACTTGATCAAGCCCTGCCTGACTCCAAAGCCGGTCGTTTCCGTTCAGTTAGTGTTTGTGGAAGGCACAGAGCAGGAGCTCACGGCCTGGTTGGGGAAAAAGACGAGGGAGGCGCCGAGGGTCACTGGGAGAGAAGGGTTTAGCTGTCTGGACCGAGGGGTCACTGGGGAAACCTTTATGGGAGAAGATTCCTAAGTGGGGTTTCAGAGGATGAGTAGGAGCTCTCTCAACAGAAGAGAGTGCATTTCAGGGAACTGGACTAGTACGTGCAAAAACACAAGGGTGGGAAAGAGCATGAGGCCTTTCTGCCACCGAAGCAGTTGTGGCTTCCTGGAGAGAGAGCGAGGAGGGGCTCTCTGGAGGCACAGGGGTTGGGGTTCTCGACACAGACTGCCCCTTGGAACAGGGGAAAGGGATAAGAACACCTGACGACCAGGCCCTCCCCCACGAGCTGGAGTGGTGGGAAGGCGGCAGCTGTGCCAGGATCCCAGGGTTCCAGGGGCACTTCCTCCACCCTGCGATCTGTCTCCCAATTCACCTCTTTCTTCTCCCTTGCTCCCCTCTCAGCCCCCCAGTACCACCTTGGTTCCTAGGTCCCCTCTCTACCTCTTATCCTTTCCCCTCAGGTCCCGTCTTTGCTTTGCTCCAACTGCAGCTTGCGAAGCTAAGCAGAGACAAACTGTGCTGTCTGTAAAATTTGTTTGTGAAGAGAAAGAAAAGCAGTCAACTAAAACTTCCTGTTAAACCATCCCACCTGCCGAGTTGAGCAGTGCCCCCCCCGCCCCCCAAAAAAAGATAAGTTGAAGTCCTAACCCCTGGGAATGACCTTATACAGAAAGTATCTTTGCAGATGCAATCAAGTGAAGAGGTCAGACTGGATTCGGGTGTGCCCCAAACCAAATAACTAGTGTCCTTACAAGGAGAGGGAGATTTGGAGACACACACACAGAGGGCAGAATACACTTCCATTGTTTTCAGCCTAAGGGTTTGTGGTAATGCTTTGCTACGTTGACTCTAGGAAACTCACATATCACCCAGAATAAAAGACTGACTTAACAGCAGCTAAAACTATTTGTTTCAGCAAATCTGACAACTTCCTGAGGCTGGCAAAACAATTCTAAATACTGACATGTGGCCCAAAAAAGGTGTTCTGGAAAATTCTATAAACTGGAAAAAAATGCAATATGAAATGCTGAAATTCCGCTTATGTTCATAAGAATATATGCACCGGTATTTTTAAAAACCAGGCATACAAAGATTAAAAAGCCCTATTTCCACAAATTGATACAAGTCCTACGATGATGCTGGAGGATACATTCCAAGAGAACGTTTTCATAGGAAAAATATATTAATATTCATCGACAACATTCAAGAATATTAGTTTTTAAAGTTTTTGGTGAATCAACTTGGTAAAAATCAGCAAATTAGTAGTTCAGCAAACTGACCTTTAGGACGACTGGCTTTCAGCAAGTTAGCTGTTCAAATGACCGGTGATGGTGTTAGCAAATCTGAACCTGCGATTATAGTTATGAAATTTAGTGAAATATGGCTGCTGACTTGTGCATGGGGAAGAAGAGTGGCATTTCTATTAAAATTCAGTTGAAGGCTTTGAAAAGTCAACATAAGCCACTTAAAAATTGTAATCAGGGCTTTCTTGGTGGCGCAATGGTTGAGAGTCCACCTGCCGATGCAGGGGACGCGGGTTCGTGCCCCGGTCCGGGAGAATCCCGCGTGCTGCGGAGTGGCTGGGCCGGTGAGCCATGGCCACTGGGCCTGCGCGTCCGGAGCCTGTGCTCTGCAATGGGAGAGGCCGCAGCAGTGAGAGGCCCGCGTACCGCAAAAAATAAATAAATAAATAAAACTGCGATCAAATTAGATACATGTGAGACACTGTAAAAGATGTGTGAGTAAAAAAATATTTTAAAAAATTCCAAAAGGACTCTACTGGCTGATTGCTTCTCAAGTGCTTTTAAGTTCACATGAAGGAAAGCAAGGGAAACTGGAAGTCATGGCCCGGCACCAAGGGCCACTATGAGTATCGCCTCAGCTGACCCACAGGAAAAAGTGAGCAGATGTATATGTGTGATCGTGACTCATCGGAGGAAAGTAAGTGGATATACACGACAGGCAGTAGGTCAAAATACAATGTTTAAGGGAGTGGGTAAAAGCCTTGCTTTAAATGACTTTTTAGATCAACTAAATGATGGTTAGGTTTTTCTCTTTTATCAGAATCACACGGAAGGCATGGTAACACGCAGCTTCCTGTGTCTCACTCCCAGGGTTTCCGCTTCAGCAGGTCCTGAGCAGGTGGACTCCTGAGAATGTGCATTGCTACCAAGTTCCCAGATGCTGCTGAAATTTGGACCACGCTTTGAAAGCCACTGGGCCATGGTGTGGTGGGCAGGTGGTGTCGACTGAAAAAAGGAAAAGCACAACCTGAGAATTACGAGTTAAGTTTTTTGGGGGGGGCAAAATGAGGACAATACCCCAGGAGGCAGCATTTCAGATAGCTCGGAGAAACTGCTCTGAACAGGTAGCGGGGAGGTCAGTACAGATGTGATTTTGGTGAAGGGGGAGTACATGCAATCAAGCACATATTTTTTGCAGAAGGTTTCTGCTCGTCACGAGGAGCAGACGTCACCATGAGGGATCTTAGTGCTCTTCTACATAAGAGGAGAATCAAGAAGTGGGCTCATAAAATCTTCTCCTGAAAATATCTAACCATCTGAAGAACTGTTCTGCCAGTTTTTCCTAGAGTACGGAGCGCCACATTCCTGATCTCTGCCCTGAATTCCTGTCAGGAGGTGCTGAAGGTCAGCAGCTGCATTGGCTCATAATTTAATCCTTGTAGAGGTAGATGGTCAGTGCCAATTTGTAGGTGACAAGGGAACAGAGAGAAAGGATGATGGACAGGACAAAGCAGGAGGAGCCTTGAACGCCAGGTTAAAAACAGAAGCAGCAAGACATTTTTAAACAGGAGGGCGGTGCAGTCAGATGTGTGCTCTGAGAGGTTTCAAGACTTTTTGCCTGGGACCCATTGTAATACCCCATTTCATATCATGAGCCAGTACAAACTAACTCAAAAAATTATGAGGAAAAACTCACTCTGCTACATGCACGCACCCTAATATTTTCATGTAGTCTGTTCTTTTCTATACTGTTTTACTAAAAATAAAATATAGATCATAACCCACAAAACTGATTTCACAACCCACTAACGGATAACAACTTGCTGAGTCAGGACCGACATTCAGAAAAGCACTGCTTTAAAAAGCGGATTCCGGCTCCAGTGAGGAAGGCTGGGAGGCTCCCCTCAGGCGGCTGGTGCCAAGCCCAGAAGAGGGTGGCCCAAAGTAAACACAGCATCAAGGTGGACAGAAGGGATCTGAGATACTCAGGATGACTCGTTACCGATTCATTAACTCAATGGGGTGAAGGAGTGTGAGGTTATCAGTTAAGAGTCCTTGGAACAGAAAATCCACCTCAAATATCCAACAGTAAAGGGTGATTGGATGGCTCAGGAAACCAAACAGTCCAGAAGTTGGAGGCTCTTCAGGTTTGGTTTGATTCAGTGGCCCAACAGTATCTTCGAGGACTGTTTCTTCAGCTGTGCTTTCAACCAAGGCTGGCTTCCCTTTGTGCTCATAAGGAGAGGACAGAGGTTTCCAAGCCCCTCTCTCCTCTCTGGTTCATATGGCAGCCCAAGCCCTTTCCCGAAGCAGTCATGGGGGTATAGGCGTCACTGACTGGACGTAATCAGAAGCCCGATTCTGGAGCTGGGGGACAGGGAATCTCCACCTACTTGGATGGCTCCCGGGAACTCTGGGAAAAATGGGAATCCCATCCCAGGAAAGTCAGAATCCTTCCTTAGGCCACAGAAGAAGGAAATGGATGCTGAGAAGGCCTCTACGTAGGTGATGTCTGGACCTGTGAAGACCAGTGAAGACCTGGTTACACACCAACATTTGAATCTTTAGCTCAAGGGAGAACCCCAGGTAGCAAAAAAGATCTGACAGTTACCAATGCTTGGTGGCTTTGGCTAGAATGGAGAGAATCAAGGTCACCCAGAGAGACTGTATAGGTTCATTCTGTCAGGTTTATTGAGTACTCTGTGTGTGTGTGTGAGGGGGGCATGGGTGTACTGGAGAATAATTTCTGATAGAACGGACTGCAAATCTTAAGTAAATGATGCAGATGAAGCAGAAAAAATGTTTTCATATTATTAGAATAGAATTGAAATGGCAATAAGTAGATGCATGCAGGACTGGAAGACAGTTAACTTTTCACTGAAACCAGCCCCTGAAAGACACTGGACCTCAGAAAAATCTAGTGAAGAGGGCTTCTTACATGGCAACTGTGTAATTAAATGGTATAATAATTGAGAAAAATAAAAACAAAAATATTGGTCTGTGAAAAAATGAGGAAAAGCTAACAGTAAGTAGCTTTATTTTATATGAACCATGTTTTACAATAAAAGGGAAAATAAAATGCAGAAATTACACAGAGTGATTTATTAGGAAACAAATAACAAAAAGGAATGCACATAAAGCTATACTAAAGGGCACCTCACCTGGCGATGCGGTTATAAGAAAATCAGATATTAAGGGGCCTACCTACAAAACGATGTGGCGGATACTGTGCCCAGATGAGAATCTGTGACAGGGTCGCCTGCTCCTCTGCACACCAGCCACAGCTTGAGAAGCGCACCTCCCCGAGCCCCGCCCGGCTGGAAACCTCCGCGTTCGCAGGGACAGGCACCAGCTACTCTCAGATCTCCCGGCTTGCAACCTGCGGGGCTCTGGTATCCAGCGAGGGGAGGCCCATTCCTCCCAGCAACCCGAACCCGCCCACCTCACTGCGGCCAATCAGACTCTTCCGATGGCCACCAGGCCGGCCAACGGCCGCAACCCCCAGCCTTAGCCAATCAGAGGAGGCCTCTCCCGTTTAGACCTGACCAATGAGGCGGCGGCCAGGGCTTTGCGGGCGTGCCCGCTCGTACACAACCACCACAGGGCCCACCCCGGGGGGGGACGGGCGCCTCCCAGAGGCCTCTAGGACCCGGGGGCGCCCGGCCGGCCTCCCGACGGCCCAAAATAGACACCCGTGCTGGGGGCCCGAGAGCCGGTCATGGACGCGGAGCAAGCCGGATGCCGCGGGGCCACCAAGGCCGCCCCGCCGCCGTTCGTGCGCGTCGCCCCCTCGCTCTTCCTCGGGAGCGCGAACGCCGCGGCCGCCCCGGAGCTGCTGGAGCGCGCGGGCGTCACCCTATGCGTCAACGTTTCGCGCCAGCAGCCCGGTCCCCGCGCGCCCGGCGTGACCGAGCTGCGCGTGCCCGTATTCGACGACCCGGCTGAGGACCTGCTGGCGCACCTGGAGCCTACCTGTGCCGCCATGGAGGCCGCGGTACGCGCCGGTGGTGCCTGCCTCGTCTACTGCAAGAACGGCCGCAGCCGTTCGGCCGCCGTCTGCACCGCCTACCTCATGCATCATCGCGGCCTCACGCGGGAGCAGGCCTTCCAGGTAGGGCGGGATTTTCTCGTGGCGGGGCTTCCGGCGGGAAGAGGCGGGGCCTTCTGGGAGGGGCGAGGCTCTAGGCAGGGGCGGGGGCCCGCCCGTGGGGGCGGGGCTTCGAGGAGGGCCCGCTCGTTGGGGCGGGGCCTCCGGGCGTTGGGAATGCCAGCGGAGCTTGCAGCCGACGCTGCGCGGTGTCTAACCAAAGCCTCTCGTTTGCAGACTGTGAAGAGCGCCCGCCCGGTGGCCGAGCCCAACCCGGGCTTCTGGTCCCAGCTCCAGAAGTACGAGGAGGCCCTGCAGTCGTGGTCCCGCCTGCCCGGGGAGCCCTCGGGCCCGACTGAGCCCTAATGGATCAGCCCTTGAGGACGGCCCAACCCCAAAGCGGAGCGCTTGGAGTTTCCTGCAGCCTCGGGGTGGGAAGAGGTAGTTCATGCACTGACTGGGGGGTGGTCTGTCCTCTCCTGCCTCACGTCCCACGGATTTTTTATTTTCTGCAACTTCCTGAAGGTCTCTGTCCCGCCTTGACGGTAGGGCAGGGGTGTGTCCGCCGAGGAGAGAACTGAGGACTGTACCTCCCCTCGTCAGCAGGTTTATTACACAGCGCTTGGTCAGGAACATCAAAACCACTTGAGGAATTTTAGCCAGAAACACATTTACTACAGAGAGATGGAGGCCAGGGAGCCAAGGTCAGGGGATGGGGAAGTACAGGAGTCATGGAGACCCGCCACCCTGTTCCTGGCTGCCTGCCACTCTGATGTGGGTGGCTTCTGGGGGGCTGCTGGCAGAACCTCATGCCTGCCACCTGCTCAAGCCACAGTGGCTTTCCCAAACCTCACACTGGCCCCGTCACAAAACGCAACATGCGATTCAGCTGGGGGGGGCCCAGTTTCCAGACTTGTAGCTGCTGTGACACAGAGTGAGGGTCGAGGCTGTGTGACAGACCACCCAATGTGGGCCCTTGGGGGTCTCAGTGTCCGTACCCACCTCCTACCTTACTGGCCTCCCAGTTTCAGCAACAGCAACGAGTCCCAGCCTAACATCCTGCAGCCAAGGTCATGTCGGCAATGCAATGACCACCCATGTCTCTGAGCCTGTTGATTCCTCTTCTGGTTCAGAGGCACTCCGCCTGGACACACTACAGCCTAAAGACTATACTAGAAAACTAATCACCACCAACACTCCTTAAATAAGATAGTGGGGAAAGAGTAAAGGAAAAATTGGGTAACACGTATGAGTTACAGATAATATAATCCCTGGTTAATATACAAATATATACATAACAAGGTTATGAATAAAATACTGTAGTTGATGTTTATCATTTTCCTTGACCCTCAGCCAATGCCTCAGGTCCTGGTCTTTCCTAGTCGGGTGTCTGATGAGCCCTGAGTGGTCCTGCCTGCACTGACGCTCTGGCCTCCGTGACCTCTGAAATACAACCAAGGAGTACTGGGAGGCATCAGGAGAATGCCCTGAGTTCCAGCATACTCCTCCTGGCCCCCCTGAGCAGCAGCAAAGCCCTGCTGCCCCTTGAAAGTCAGGATCAGGGAACTCCCTGGCGGTCCAGTGGTTAGGAGTCGGTGCCTTCACTCCTGGGACCCAGGTTCAATCCCTGGTCAGGGAACTAAGATCCTGCAAGCTGCATGGTGCGGCCAAAAAAAAAAAAAAAAAGAGTCAGGATCAGTCACCTCACCCAGCAGAGCAACTCCCGATTTGAGGCTTGTGGAGCCCCAGATGGTGACGTGGTGTCTCAGCCTCCCGTCCAGCTGTGTCCCCAAATGGAAGCATCCTACCTGCAGATGAAGACCTCTGACCCAGCAGAGCCCGAAGTTGTGGGGATGGGAAGCTCACACTCTGCTAGTGACGCACTGGGGTGGTGGTGAAAGGGTCTTCCTCCCCCCCAACCCTCTTGCACATCTGGGCTCCCAGCTGTGACGGTCCCTGGCTCAGAGCATACACCACACCCTGCAGGTCAGCACCCAGCCCGGTGCGATGTCACCAATCAGCAGCCCCCATGTCCAAGAGCCATAGCCCTCGTCATAACCCAAATGCAGCTCTTCGTGGCTAACCCGACTTTCACACATTTTTGGAAGGCTTGCCAGCTGCCACTTACTCGCCACAAGCCCCTCATAGCTCGTGTCACTTTTCATCAACCCCATAAACGAGCTCCTGCTGTTGCCTCCACGTGGCAGGTGAGGCTCCGGTGGCTCCGTCTGTAACCTCAGGTGAGCTGAGCGGTTTGCCCAGCTAGGAGGTCAGGAGCCAGGACCTGAGCCCACGTTTCTACCCCGTGTGCTCATGACATCCTTGCTGGCACACCCCCTCACCTGCTGACCTGGCCCTGGGTGACAGGGCTGCCAGGATGTCAGAGCCCGGGCCAGGCTGAAGGACATCTGTGGGTCCCATCAGCCTTTTGTCCCACCAGCTCCATTCTGAGAACCATCCAGCTTCGGCTGCCACCAGAGGCCCAGGTATCCCTAGGAGCTCTGACCCAGGGACAACACAGCCCCCAGCTGAACACCACAGGCTTCCTGGAAGCCCTCCTGCCTCCGTGTCCACCTGCTGGCAAGTGAGGCCAGGGACCCACTCCCCTCCCAGTGCCAACGCACTTGAATAGGGGTACCTAGTCCACGTGCATCAGGGGAGAGCTGGGGTGCAGGCAGAGTGTCAGCTGCATCAGCCCACCCAAGCCAGCCAGCGTTTGATCATCAAAAGGCTGGTGTATGAAAATTCCTATGGGAGAAGCCCCAGCCTCTAGCAGTCCCGGCTTTCAGGTTCCTCTCCCCTAAGTGGTTTGGGGTGGGGTGACAGGAGGGCTACGCTGCAGCCACCCTGGACCTTTGTCAGCAGGCAGTGCCCCCATCCCCCAGCACTGAAGGCACTGTCCTCTGCAGGACAGGGACAGGGTGGAGAGTGGAGACGACCCCTGTGGCCCGCACAGTTCACAAATGCCTTGGTGGGCTGCCTTTAATACCATAGAACAGGTCTGTTTGCTCCCGTAAGACTGGTTTGTGTTGGTTCCTTACAAAAATGTGGGGTGGGGCTTCCCTGGTGGCACAGTGGTTGGGAGTCCGCCTGCCGATGCAGGGGACGTGGGTTCGTGCCCCGGTCCGGGAGGATCCCACATGCCGCGGAGCGGCTGGGCCCGTGAGCCATGGCCGCTGGGCCTGCTCATGCGGAGCCTGTGCTCCACAGCGGGAGAGGCCACAGCTGGGAGGGGCCCGCGTCCAAAAAAAAAAAAAAAAAAAAATGTGGGGTGGAAGGCACCGCCCCCGCTGGGGGGGGGGTGGGCAGAAGTGGTAACAGCTCCTCTGGACCTGCAGGACTGCCCCATTCCACCCCTTCCGTGTGCAGAACTGGCCACTGGGAGGTGCCCAGGAGAGAAGGGATGAGACCCAATCCCTGCTCACCCAAGTCCAGGGGACCAGGAGGGTGAGAAGCCCCCTGATGTTAACTTACCCCAAGTGTGCAGGTGGCTGGTAGACCTGCCTGCGGGTCCCTAGGGCAGGCTAGTGTGGGTGCCCACACACGGTCCTCTTGAAGGTCTTCTGACTCCAGCCCCACCGGCCTGGTGGGGGGTGGATGGCTCCAAAAGGCTGGTCAAACTGGGAGTGCCATCTAAAGCACTCTGCCCTTGGCACCTGGGCAGGCGCTGGGCCACCTGAAGGCCTCGAGGACTGATTAGACCCCAGTTCTCTTCCCTCTTGAGTCTCGGACGCAGGACTGAAACCCCTCCTCCAGGTGACTGGCGAGTTTGGGGTGGGGCCCCGACAAGGAGATTGTGTCCCCCCTGCTAAGATGGCACATAGGAAAAACTGAAGAGATGCCTCAGTGCAGGTGCTCTGAATCAGTGAACATGTGTCCTCCCACTCAGCCATCCTTCCCACCCAGCCCCCCACCCGGGGAGGAGGGCAGGCAGGATCACATGGGTGACAGATTGGGATACTGAGCCCAGAAGGATCAAACGCTACTCGGGGACGCCATCGAGGTCAAGTGCATTGTGAGTCAGGCCCCAACTTTGCCACAGGGAGACTGATCAGGGGAGAGAAGTGGGTGGGATTCCAGGCCAAAAAGCCCCTTCTCCCTAAGGGTCTGACTTCTTACGCGATGATGACAGCAACATCTTGGTGGCCCCTCTGGTTCCATGGCTTCGAGATCGCCCTGATGCTAGCTCTTTGAGCACCCTCGCTGGTCTGCAGGCATCCCCTCTGGGCCTAAGTCTCTGAACAGGCCTGGGCGAGGTGGAATGGGGACAGGCAGGCCAGGTCCTGTTACTGCCCAGCACTCACCTATACAATCTTCCTCCAGGGCCCCAACAGGCCTTAAGGCAGCACTGTCCGGCACAACTTTCTACAATGATGGGATATCTGCTCTGTCGAGGATGGCTACCACTAGCCAGACACTATCCTCCAAACACACACGGAGACCTTGAAATACGGCTAGTGCAACTGAGAAACTGAACTTCTAATTTAATTTAAATCTAAATAGCTACAATTATCTGACAGCACAGCCTTAAGGTTCTTGAGCACCGCCATGTACCATATGGCACGTAACACAGACCACTGGTCTCGCAGGGGAGTGGGTCGGGTGTATGGAAATCATTCCATCATTCCATCACTACCCGGGACCAGAGGTTCCCGAATGGACGAATAACACTGAGTTCCAGACGCCACACTTCCCAGCTTCCCTGACCCAGGTGTCCCAGCAGTCGCTGCCCCAGGAACCTGGCCCGCAGCATCGCTGAGGGATCGGGCATCCTGACTCCCGGGGTCTCCCAGACGCGAGCCGGGTAGGAAGCGCAAAGGGGTGGGGAGACCGCAGGGCCACTCCTCCGCCCGGCGCGCCCCGGACCCCGAGCACACAGCGTCCCGCCCCTCACCCCCGGCTCCCGCTTTCCCCACCCCCCAGCACAGTGCCCCGGCCACCTGCACACGGCAGCCGCAGCCCCATGCACCGCACCCGGCTCTCGGCCTCAGCCCTGGCACAGCGCCCCCAGCCCCAACACAGCACCCCCGGCTCCGCTGTCCCCCCGCCCCGCACAGCGCCCCGGGCTCGCGGTCCTAGCCCCGCTCTCGGCTACTCGGTCTCCCGGTTCACAGCGCCCCCGCTCACTGCGCCCCCGGCTCCCCGGTCTCCCCGCGCACAGCGCCCCCGGCGGCGGCCGAGCGGAGCCCGAGCGGGGCGGCGCACAGCGCGGGGCCGGGCCGGGCGGCTCCCGGCGCGACTTCCTGTTGTGCCCTCGCGCCGCCGCCGCCGCCGCCGCCGCCGCCGCCGCCGCCGCCGCCGCCGCCGCCGCCGCCGCCGCCGCCCCTCACCCGCTCCCCGCGGCCCGGCGCGGCCGCCGCCCATGGATTTCACCAGCGCGGCGGCCATGGCGGCGCAGTGCTGCTGCCGCAAAGCGCCCGGCGCCGAGGCCGCGCCCGCGCGTCCGCCGCCCGAGCCGCCGCCCGCCCTGGACGTGGCCTCGGCCTCCAGCGCGCAGCTCTTCCGCCTCCGCCACCTGCAGCTGGGCCTGGAGCTGCGGCCCGAGGCGCGCGAGCTGGCCGGCTGCCTGGTGCTCGAGCTGTGCGCGCGGCGCCCCGCGCCCCGCGCGCTCGTGCTCGACGCGCACCCGGCCCTGCGCCTGCATTCGGCCGCCTTCCGCCGCGCTCCCGCTGCCGCCGGCGAGTCACCCTGCGCCTTCGCCTTCGCTGCACCCGGGCCGAGTCCCGCGCCGCCGCCCCCGCTGCCCGCCTTCCCCGAGGCGCCCGGCGCGGAGCCCGCATGCTGCCCGCTGGCCTTCAGGGTGGACCCTTTCACGGACTACGGCTCCTCGCTCACCGTCACGCTGCCGCCTGAACTGCAGGCGCACCAGCCCTTCCAGGTCATCCTGCGCTACACCTCGACCGACGCCCCCGCCGTGAGTCCCTCCCCCCCGCCGGGTGGGCGCTGGGGCGGTGGGCTGGTCGCCGGGTCGTTTCCAGGCGGCCTCTCCCCGCGCTGCCGCCAGGCTAGGGGGGCGTTAATGTGGGCTCTGCGCCTGAGGCACCTGCGGAGAGATGGGGCCGGCCTGGCACTTCCCCACCTGGCTCCGGAGTCCTGTCCAGGTGCCTGCAGTGCTTCCCAGCTGGTGCCCGGGGAGCCCTTAGGAACCTTGGACCGAGCGAGAGCCTGGGTGCTGGCCCTGGACCGTGGGGACAGGGGACAGCATGCCACCACGGGAAGCCTCTCCTTCCAGGTGTGCAGGGGCTGTGCCTGCCTGGGGACAGGGACAGCTTCTGGTGAGCACACGCCAAGCCATACATCTGAGGGAGCCTGGCACTGAGAAGCAGGCCAGGCAGTGTCAGATGTGGAAGGGCCACCGTGTGACCTGGTCTTCAGAGGACTGTTCCCTGGAAGTGGCAAGAGGGACGGACCTGCCGGAGTGGGAGGCGGAGAGGCCCGGGTTGGCTCTAATGCTTCAGGCCCCGTGAGGACTGGCGGGTGCGGCGGCAGGGTTGCCCTGTGTCCCCAACACAGACACACGTAGGCTCTGCAGGGCTTTGGACGTGGAGCATTTGCTGCCCCAGGGGCTCAGCAGGAAGGCTGCGTGGCCCAGGCTGGGTGCTGTGGCTGCAGCACCCCTCCCCCATAGGAGGGCTTTCAGGATGGAGCAGGGCCTTCCGTTCTGGAAGCATGGGGCTTCCTGGGTCTCCGTGTGGACAGCACACTTGTGACACTGCCCTCCCTCCAAACACACACACACAACATACACGTAGCTCTGGGAGGCCCCAGAAGTTTCCATGTGTCACCGCCCACGGCATGTAAATGGATACGGTGATGTATAGGTGGCACAGAGGCACCAGGTCAGGAGCCATCAAGGTGACATCTGGACAGGAAGAGCCTAGAGCAGACACACACCTATGGGCTTCCTGCATGATTCCCAGGAGCCCTCAGCTGCCACCTCACCTCCTTTGTGAGCTTCCGTGGGTGTGCTGGCCTGGCCCCTGGCCTGCTGGGTTGGCACCTGCTGGGGTAGCCTGGATCTCTGACAGCGGCATGTATGCCTCCCACCACAGCCGTGAGAACAAAGGGGTATGATCCTCCCGGACCTTGGTCTGTGAACTTGGAGCCCATGTGTCTGGTCCACCCAAGACTGGCAGAGTGGTGGGACTAGGGCCCATAACAGGCCACCCTTGCTGGCCTGATCGTATCCCCAGCAGCCTGACCATGGGGGCCTGTCCCCAGCATGAGCCAAGGGCTACCTGCAGAAGCACTGCCGGGGGAGTCTCATTAAATGCAGATTCCTGGGTCCCAGCCCCAGGAAGCTCTGTGGCAGGGCCCAGGAGTCTGCATTTTTGAACAGGCTCCCCAGACAGGCCTTCTAAACATCTGGGGCAGCCCTAGGGGTCAGCAGAAAAGGAAGATACCACTGCACACTCCTCACCGTGAGAGGACAGAGACAAAGCGGCCCAAAGGAAGTTTTGAAGACGTCTGTGAACGCTGACAGTGGTCTGGCTGGGTCTGCAGGAACTGGATAGGCAGCCCTGCCGAGCCTGGGCGTCTGCTAAGATCTGGGGTCTGCAGGAGAGGCAGCCCCCTCCTGGGTCTGGGGTCTGGGGTTTGTGGGGTGGGGAGCCCCACCGGGTCTGGGGTCCTCCACCTCTGTGGTGTCAGCATGGACAACTCCCAGTGGCAAGCAACTGTGGATACCATCAGCTGTGGTTTGCTCAGACCTGTCACTTGCAGGGGGCTAGGGTCCTTCCATAATGGCCCTGGGAGAACCTGCGTGCGCTCGGTCACTGAAGTGGGGACACGGAACAGTCCAGTTGGCTTCAATGATCGTGTCGTCCCGGCAGAGGGGGCGTGAGAACAGATTTGGGGCCCCACAGAATGACTGCGGTTGGGTTGGGGGAGCTCCCCCAGGCTCCGTGCTGACCTTCCTGGAGACCCTGGAATGTTTGGCCGGAGTTGAGAGGGGGTGTCTTGAAATGGCCCTAGGGAGGCTGGGGGCAGTGGTGGGCACGAGGGTGCGAGGGAGGGCTCCCTAGTGGGGGTGGGGCCTGGCCTTGGCATCTGGGGGGAGGTTGGCTGAGAGGGCGACAGTGTCCGGCAGGCGTGGAAGCAGGTAGGCGGCACGGCACCGAAGAGCACCCCCATCCTCGGCCCCCCGTGGCCTCCCCGGGCCACCGGCACTGTGCGGTGGAGGCATCTTCCAGGCAGGGGCCGTTTCCTTGCGCAGAAGCCCTGAAGGGCATCCTCCCCACTTCTGCCCTGAGCCCACGCCCGCCCCTGACGGCTGCCCTTCCCGAGGACACCGTGTGTGGTGTCAGGTTCTGTGCGGAGGTCCCCGTCCATCCTGCAGATGAGCGAGGCACCCACCAGTGCCGCCCCGCCCGGGAGGTGGGTGGCTGGGCGCTGGTGGCCGCTGCGGGGTCTGTCCACAGTGCTCCGGCCGTGGCCCCAGCGGCCCTCCCCCCAGGCTGCTCCTGTCCCACGCGTCCTCTCCGAGAGCCCAGCCTGAGCTCCCTGCCCACGGACCCTGGCCGGGAGCCCTTCTCCCCGTGGGGGATCCCTCCCTGTGAGGCTGCCCCATTTCCAGGGGTGGCCCTGGGCTCAGGCGCACGTGGGGGTCACCAGGAAGCACTGCTCTCCCCACACGTCCACATTCCCGGCTCCCTTTCCCGGCTGAGACCAGGTTCGCGCCTGCCTGTGAGAATTGGACTCAGGTGCTCTGACGGTCTCAGTTTCCCTCTGGCAGCTGGCGTGAGGGGCACAGGCTGGGGGACTCCCTGGGTGCCTGGCCTCCCACCTGGAGAGAGGCCTGGCCCTGGTGGCGAAGCACAGGCCACACTCTGTGTCAGCCGCCCTGCCTGCCCAGGGTGGGCAAGCAGTGGTGCCCAGGAGCTGCTGTTGGCCCTGGACGAGCCCAGTCGGGCCATCCCCTCCTGGGCCCTTCCTCATTCCCTCCCTCTCCAGCCGCTGCCCCAGCAGGCCTGGGCCTGGAAGCCTGAGCAGGACAGGGGGGTTGGGGCCACTTCCCAAGGCCTTGCCCTCTCCAGAAACTCTGCCTAGCTTTCAGGAATCAAGGCTGGGCTGGCAGGGAGGGGTGTTCTGGCGTCCCCACGTGCTGCCCTCTGTGGGGCAGGGCCCCCAGGCTCCCCCCATTCCCTGTGTGCCTCAGGTGCCCCCCGCCTCACTGGTACAGTGAGGGCCGTCAGCCAGCAGCTCTGGTCTCCAGGAGGCCTCAGCCCACGTGATGGGGAGGGCGTCAAGGGCCAGAGCCCAGGGGCCGTCGGCTGATACCCTGCCCACTGCCCACTGCAGATCTGGTGGCTGGACCCAGAGCTGACCTACGGCAGTGCCAAGCCCTTCGTCTTCACCCAGGGCCACTCCGTCTGCAACCGTTCCTTCTTCCCGTGCTTCGACACGCCCGCCGTCAAGTGCACCTACTCGGCCGTCGTCAAGGTCAGCGCCCAGCAGCAGGCCCCGCTCTGCACTCTTACCTGCCCAAGCCTGGCCCCGGCTGCCACCGGGACCACTGCTCTAGGAGGAGCCCACCCTCCTCACTGTGCAGGAGGGGGCAGCCTGATAGGGTTGGGGTCCTGGACCCAGGATGAGCCAATAGGACCCTGACGAGGGGAGGGCACAGACGGAGTCGCTGGGTCCCAGGGCTCCTGGCCTGAACGTGGCAGCACCCCTACGCCCACCCGACTCCCGACTGGGGCAAGAGGTGTGCAGACCAGGAGCGTGGGGTTCCCCGAATAGTGTGGGGGGACCCCTGATGGGGCTGAGAGGGTCCCCGACAGTGACGTGGCTACCTGATCCAGGTGGCAGGGCTTCCCGTTGGGGACGTGGCGTTCCCTACCATGGATGTGGGGCTTCTGACCGGGCTGTGGAGTTCCCACTGGGGACACGGGGTGC